CTGTGGTGCCTTGCAGGGAGCTCTGGTTCTTACCTTGAGCTCTGCTTCCTGGCTGGCTCCAGTGCAGATCCCTCAGCCTGCTAGCACAGATTCTTCACCTTGCTGGCACAGGCTTTCTAGCTTCCACCACTAACCTTTGGGCTTTCCCAGCCCAGATCTGTACAACAGGCTACATGGGACATTGTCATGGGCTCCAGGCCTCCAGTGGATGTGTGGGAGGCATTGTGATGGGCTGTAGGTCTTCAGCTGAGCTCATGCAGGATGTTATCGTGGGGCTCTCAGCTGGATTCTTTGGTCTGTAGCGTGTGGACAGATTTCCTACACTCTCTTTTTGCATATAATTCTTTGGGTGACTATTATATAAATCTTATAAAATGTGTCCTGTATTGTATTGTTCCCCTTGCAAAACCCTGAAACTCTGGCACTTCCCTTGACCAGTGAGTCAGGTAAGGACATGAATCTTGACTCTATTACTTTCTGGCAGTCCTGTAAGCTGGAGTTTCTTAGGATGGGAATACAGGTTTGTTGGGATTTCATGTAAGGGATAGAAGGCCCATGCACAGGGCCAAGCTCACACTGGGTGCTGACTTCCAGGGTTGGCTGAGGGAGTCCTAAGTAGCCTGGGCAGGAGGAGGGAGAGGAAGAAGTGAAGGGTAGGGAAGAGGTGGAGGAGGAGGAAGCAGAGGATGGACTTCCAGGGTTCTGGAATGATAGCAGACAGTGCTGCTGGAGTACAGCTTGTTGCTGGGTACCTGGTCTTGTCACCTCACATGGCAAGTGCTGCAGGGACAGGATGGGGCCCCTCATGTCCGGCAGAGTGACTTGTCCTCTGTGGCAGGATCAGGTGAGGCTGGGAATGGCAGAGTCACCTCTCCTGGTACGTGCTGTGCAAGGCACCTTTTTTCTCAGGATGATATAGCTATGAAGGGGTCTGGGACCCAAGCATCTTTGCAGGATTCCAAGGCTCCTATCCTGGAGAACCACCGGGAGCTCTGTGAGGGGACCTAGGGCTATGGACAGACTGTGGTTCCTGTCCTCTCACTGCTTTCTGCTCCTCAGATGTCTCAAACCTGAGTGTGACCCAGTGACCTGTGTGAGTGGGTGGCCAGGTGCCTGTGGGCAGCTGGGAGGCAGGAGAGCTACAGAGCCAGCCCAGGCTGAGGGGGCAGTGGTGCCCAGCACTGGCTGTTGTTGCCATGGGGACTGCAGGCTCCACTACCAGATCCTCTGAGACTTTAAAAATAGCTGGAAATCTGGACTTCTGTGTGAACATTTTCCAATTGTGTGGGCGACCCTGCCTCCCATCTTCTGGAATTCCTTTGTCTCTGCTTCCCCAGTGCAGAGGGAGGGTGCTGGGGTCTGTGCCTCTTCCTGCTGGCTCCCAGAGCCAGCCAGGTGGGGCCTTGTGCAGAAAGGGGTGCTGGAGATATAGTGTACAGTGTCAGACCCACAGGGAACAGCTGAGGGGCAGAAATCAAGGAGCTCATGCCTGGCATCTGCACTCAGGGCTACTTTCCCACAGGGTCCCCTCACCTGGGTTTCTAGTCAGAGCTGTGTGGCTTCCTCTTGAGATGCCAGGCACAGTGGATAGATGGGTTTGGGCCATCTATCCACCCTCTCCTTGCATTGTCTTCAGCTTCTTCTCCACTCTACCCAATGTCACCTCCTCCAGGAAGTCTTCTGGAACCATGCCAGCCCTCTGGCTCTGGCTCTTGGAAGCGTTTTCAAAGTTGCTGTGTGCTTGAGGCTGACTTTTGCTGGCTGGGAGAAGAGGAGGGCAGGGCTTGCTCCAGTTGCTGTTTCAGTTCAGCGTTTCCATATCTGTAGGTGGAAGCCAGTAACAAACCTCAACGTTGGAGGTGGTCCGTGTCCACATGAGTGAGAGGCCCTAGTGTCAGGAGTGTCTGGGACTCCATGGGGGGTTCAGGTGGGTACTTCTCTCTGCAGTCTTTTCAGACCCTGCCAGACTTGTGTTCCTCAGGAGAGAGTCTCAAAGGCCTTTGTATACAGCCTCAGTTTTTTTCTTTTAGAAAATGGAACCATGACAACAACTACAATCTTCAGGGGTGGCATGGAGGGCAGATGGTGGGACTCTGGATTGCTGAGCCCAGTGTGTCCAATGTAGTGCGTGGGTTGGAACCTGAACCCACATGAGGATGTCTCCCTGAGCCAGAATCTTGCCTGCCTTGCCCCTTGCTCAGCATTGTCCCCAGTTGGCCTTGGTTTCCCTTGGGCCTAGAGGAGCAGAGGGATGGGGACAGCTTAGCCTCAGAGTGGGCGCTGTGTGAAGCCCTGCTAGAGGGAACTGTGTAGAGGCTGCCCCTGGGCTTATTCTCCTTCTGGAGGAGAGAAAGACCTTGAAGGGAGGGAAGCAGGTTTTCTGTGATGAAGACATAGGTGGGTCCTGTGTGTGGAGGGCCAGGCTTGAGGACTGCTTGATGATGCAAATGCAGCAGCAAGCAGGCCAGCTGTGTCCCAGCAGGCCCGGGCTGGCTGGGTCAGGTGTTCTACAGCAGGTGCCCTTGTGTTAGGAGCACCCTGGATGAGCGGGCGGGTTCTAGTGTCCTACCCAGGACTCCCAAGCCCTCCTGGTCTCATCAGCACTGGGGTGAGATGCAGAATAAATGTCACCAGGTGCAGCAAACCCAGGTGTCTTTGAGCCGTGGGACCAAGGTGCCTTAGCAGGAGAGGACCAGGTGCTGAGGCACTGGTGGCTGAGTCTGGAGCCTGCTGCACTGTAGCAGTGTTGCGCAGATCACCCTGACCTCTGGGTTCTTTCTTTCTTTCTTTTTTTTTTTTAATATTTATTTTTATTTATTACATTTATTTATTGTGTGTGTGTGGCCAGCTCAGCCCACCAGGGGGCGGGGCTGGCTGGCATGTGGTGCTGGAGGATGGAACCGAGGTCCCTGTGCTTTGCCAAGCTTGTTTCAAGTAGGTGCTTTAGACCACTGAGCCATCTCTCCAGCCCCCTCTGGGTTCTTTCCTTGTTGGTGGGCTGGGACCCAGCCTTACATGTGCTTGGCAGCCTGGGGGCTGCATGCCCAGCCGGGGTCACACCAACCTCTGAACCTTGTGTCCCCGTCCTCAGGAGGGGACAGTGCCACTGCTCTGTGTGCTGTGAGGGCTGGTGCAGCTCCTTCTGTCATAGCTGCAGTGTGAGCCCCTTGGGGCAGGCTCCAGGCTGTTTTCCTGGATCCCAGAGCCTGGTACTGTGTGGGCTTAGAACAAATGTCGTCAGCTGCGTGAGCAAGACGAGTGTGACAGGGATAAATGTCAGCTCCTGGATGGAGCTCCTAGGGCGCCGCTGCCGGGAGGCAGAGGAGGCGTCAGCACCAGCCTCAGAGGGGGCTGGGTGGGGCAGCCGGTGAGCTCAGGGGCTCTGAGGCCGGGCTTGGAGAGGTCCGGGTGCTGAGCCCAGCAGGGTCAGCAGCCCTGCTGTCCTGCTTGACTTCACTCACTTCGGCTTTTGGGGCCCCCGGGCCCTGGAATCTCAGGGTCTTCGTCTGTAAAATGTGCAGCCTGCAGGTCGGAGGTCACCGGGCTGCTGGACACGGTCCCATCCCGCTCCACTTTCTCTATCCCTCGTGGGTTGTTTCACCTCAGGGAACAGCCAGCAGCCAGGCAGTGGGGGGCACGTGGCATCTGTGCCAATGTCAGGGGCTGGCTGAGGACTGCTGGGATGGCCCCATCCGCCTTGCCTCACAACCCTCGGGGCAGCATCCTTGTCCCCTCCCTGTTCCACAGCCTCCGGTTGCTGTTCCCATTTCTGCAGAGGTCTCTGCCTCCTGCACAGCGCCATCTGGTGGCTGTGGACACCCTGATAGATTTTGCAGAGTCTCTCGGAAGAGGACAGGAATTAGATATTTGGGTAAAATCTTCAGCCTGTATCACCGCAGGGAAGAAAACTTGGCCTTGGACAGGAGGACGTGTGACCCACAGTGCCACATCTAAGTGACAGAAAGGCAGATGTAGTGGTAGTGGCTCCGAACAGGGGCCAACCAGAGCCTGGGCTGGGGACACTGCTGCTCCAGGGCCGAGACTGCCTGAGGCGATGGTGAGTTCTGGATGTGTGAGGTGACAGCCACAGCCCTGTGGATGTACTTGGTGCCACTGAGTTACTTAGACTCACTTAAATGACAGACTGTAAGCTGAGTGTATTTTGCTAGCATAAAAAGTACCAGGAAAAATGCTAGTCCTGTCACTTACAGGCCAAAGGACTTGGGCAGGCCACTCAGTCTCTCTGGGCTTCAGTTTCTTCCTCTGGGGAGCAAGGGGCAATAACGTCCACGTCCTTGCCACTCCCACTATGCCACAGTCCTCCCATGGCCTCCTTGGCATGATGGCTTCCACCATGGCTGCCCACTGCCCTGTGCCTCCCCGTCGTCCTCCTCAGCTGAGCAGAGGACCGAATCGCCGTGCAACTGTCCCGTGGTCAGCAGGGTCTGGCCCTGCCCCCTCCTTTCTCCATGCTGTCCCCATAACCCCACCTTGCCATCATTTTGTGTCTTTCTGCCTCCAGCCTTGGCAGGCAGGTCACTGTCCCTTGAAGCATCCTCTGGTTTCCCCTGCCACTGGCATTTGGGTTCAGGTGACCCCTGCTCTTTCTGAGACACCTTTCTTCCCATCTACAGGTGCCACATGGCACTCAGGCTTCTTGCTGCTGTCCTGTTTGTTTTCCTTCATGGCACCTGGCCTCAGAAATGATCTGATCTTGGATTTGTAGGGTGAAGGCAGGAAATAGTTTTATTTCCCTCTTACCACCATCTTTGTGCCTTTTCTCCTGTTTCTCTGTTTCTCCTCTTGAAAGTACTTCAGCTCATGTAGCTTTGCCAATCTCTTCCAGGTATTAGACCCACTGCAGGCATGAAGACTTCCTGTTTATGGAACATATGCGCTGAAGGGTTCAGATGTTACATGTCACGATGTCCTACCCACAGTCTAACCCAGGAGGTGAAGACCTTTACACCGAGAGTTCCTGTGTGCTGAAGAAATGGACAGGCTGCAGAGGGTGGAAAGACCCCCTGCATGTGGATGAATAGGACCAACAATTTCAAAGTGGCTACGTTGCCAAAAGAGACCTGCAGACTCAGTGATGTCCTCAACAAACATCAACAGTCTTCACAGAACTAGAGAAAAAAACCCCTAAGACTCATGTGGATGCAGAGACCCAGAGTAGGCAGAGCAGCTGTCGGGATGGGCAGGTGGTGTCATATACCTGACTTTACACCACACCACACACTGCAGTGACAGGGACAGCATGGTAAGGACATGTGAACCAAGGGGACAGAGTAGAGACCTGCACAATATGGCCACCTGATCCGAACAGATGAGCCCAGAATACTCTGTAGAAAAGATAGCCTCTAGTGGTCCTGGCTTGTCCCTCCCTCCCTCCCTCCCTCCCTCCCTCCCTCCCTTTCCTTCCTTCTTTCTTGTGGTGCTGGGCTTGTACCTGGGGCCTTTCTACCACTGGGCTATACCCTCAGTCTTTTTTATTTTTTGTTTTTGAGATAGGGTCCATTAAGTTGTGAGGAGGGATGTGAACATGAGACGCTCCTGCCTCAGCTGTCTTCAGCACCAGGATGACAGGCTTGTGCCACCAGGCCCGGCTTGCTCACTGCCCTGTGACACTGCCCCCTCTGGCTTCTGTTCTTTTCAGCTGGTGGTCTCTCTGTCCACACAGACAGCAGGACGAGCTTCCCTCTCAGAGCCCTCCGTTGGATGCACCTTCACCATAAAGGTGACACTTGCTGGCGAGAGGCGTCAGGACTCAGGCGCAGGACTTTCCTCCATGGAGAGAGGCATGAAGACCCAAGATGTGCTTCATCTCTTACCAGAGTCAGCCCTCAGCTCCAGTCCTCTGAATTTCTACATCATATGAGGAAAATCCAATCCCCAGTCTCCAAAACACACTGTCTAGACCCTTCCACATGCTCAGAAACTGGCGCAACACTGAGGAATTGATTTTCTCTGTGTGACAAGCACTGTGGCACACAGGAACGTGGGCCAGCACCCTTCTGCTAGTGCACAACTGCTGCGGCTTGGGATTCTGGAACTGGGAGAGAGAAGGAAGGAAGAGAAGAGGGGAGGGAGGGAGGAGAGAAGGGAGGACAGGAGACCAGGCAGATGGAGGACCAGGTAGAGACAGAGGCACAGGGAAAGACCAGCATCTTAGAAGTGACAATGTGACACCTTGTTTTCTGCTTTGAGACCCAAGTCGGTAAGTGGAGGCCCCGAGCAGAGAGGGTGGCAGAAGGTCCTGGGGCTCCCTGAGGCAGCTTCCAAGGCTGGCCTTCCAGAATCCAAGAGACACCAGAACCAGAATGAGTTAAATTACCTGTAAGGTTAGTGGTGGCTTTGTTTCCATGATAATAAATCCAAACACCTCAAAGCCAGCATTGTGTTCCTAAATTATCAATTAAATGGACCCCAAAGGCCTCAGCAGGGCTGCACAGTGAAGACACAGGAAAAAACCTGCACATGTGCAGGGAGCCTGCATGTTCATCCTCAAGGGTGCATTCACTTTCAAAAGTGATTTGGCTGTGACATCCGGGTGGAGCGGCCATGCCTTGGCCAGCTCCCTGTCACCTCCTCCCCGACCCCACACCACCTGGAGGGGAAGCACAGCAGGGTTTCAGTGCAGGGTTTGCACCCTCAGATCCACATGTATAAAACAGTGGTTTGGAGCGCTGAGCTGCAGCAGCCTTAGGAAGTGGAGCCAACTGTGTGGGAAGCTGAGGCCTGTAGCCACTGCTTGGTGTCCAAAAGCCAGTGTCACTGGGCATCTGGAATCCATGATTTTTCTTTGAGGGCCCCTTTGGTAAGCCAAGATCCTTGGGAGGGGAGGTTGGTTTTGTAGGGTTTCTTTGTTTCTCTGGAACACGGCTGAACTCAGTGCCAAGAGCTCCTGTACTGGGAACCTGGTTCCCAGTGGGAGAGCTGAGGGGGGTGCAGAGCCCAGGAGAATGGGCTGGTAGGATGCCCTCAGGTCCAAGAGGCCCGCAGGACCCTATGGCTCTGAATCACTGTCACCTGCCCTAACAACACTCTGTGGCCAAGTGAATGTCAGCACCATGAAGTTTGAACCACACAAAGGAAACTGCTTTTCCTCCTAAAGCTGTCCAGCAGTGGGAATTCCACCACAGGGACATGGAGCGGGTGGATCTTGGCCTCAGCTGCCCTGCCCAGTGACACCATTTCTTAGGGCTGCTGCAGCTCTGCACTCCAAATGGCGTGTCTGTGTTGTGTGCATATGGATCCAAGTGTGAAAACCCCGAGCTGAAACTCTGCTGCGCCTTCCCTCCAAGCAGAGCTGGGCTGAGGAAGGAGACAACAAGGAGCTGGCTGAGGCACAGGCTGCTCCACCCAGGATGTCATGGCCAAAATTACTTTTGAGGATGACCATCATCTCGCTTTCCACATTTTGCCTCAAGCGGCAGAAAACTTTCCTGGTGACATCCAGGTAACAGACACTAGATTTTTTTCGGTAGAGAGGGATGATGAAAATCTTGTTAGACTTAAAGGCCAAGGACGGGGCAGAGATGAGGACATGTCCACAGGACACACCAGCTGAGGAGAACGCAGCACCCACTTCAGCCAGCGCTCCTGTCCTCGCAGATGAGGCTTCCAGATGGCTCTGCTAAATATAATAAGATGCTAATCAGGCAGCAGACGTTTCTAATACTGTGAACACGCTGGTTCAGCACCATCATAATGACAGGACACCAGAAGATGCTGCTGAAAGAATGCCACTCAAAAACCTACTTGATGTGACAAAGCTGAATAACAAAGGAACTGAAGCCTACAACCAGGGCTGGGGTCTGAGTGGCCTCAGAAGTCCTGGCCTAATTAGATTTCATTCCATTCATAGCTCAGGTTGTTGAGCAGTCACTGGTTTCAGGATTCCTCCACATGGGTTTCTTTCTTTCTTTTTTTTTTTTTTTTGTATTTGGTGGAACCGGGTATTGAACTCAGGCCCTTGCGTTTGCCAGTGAAGTGCTTATTTTACTGAGCCAACTCCCCAGTCCACTATTATATTTTTTATTTATTTATTTTTTTATATTTGGTGGAACCGGGGATTGAACTCAGGCCCTTGCGCTTGCTAGTGAAGCACTTATTTTATACCACATGTGTTTCTGCCCCCCCCCCCCAGGAGAAGCCTGCATCCCTAGGCTCTCCTGCTGTGGTATGGCCTCCCAGCTTCCCATACTGGGAGGAGAGTCAAAGACATGGTGCAGTGTCTGTCCCTTGCCCCCTTGCCCTCACTCAGGAGGGGTGGGGACCTTGCATTTCTCACTGTTGGCTCTCTGTGTCACAAGTGTCATTTGCTGCAGTGTGCTCTCTGGGCCACCCCAGGGTGTTGTCCTCACTAGCAGGGTTTGAGCCGGCTCCTTCTCCCATCTGTGTCCCACCCTCTGGATGGAGGAAGTATAGATAAGGACCCAGTTTCAAGGCCCAGAGGCACAGCCTCAAGCCTACTGCCCTTTGCTGGGCAGTCTGGGGAGGAGAGGGTCCCAGGAGAAAAGGACCTCTTGGGGTTGGGTGACAGGGACCATAGCCAGACTAGCAAAAGGGCCTCTATGGAGCCTGCTGGGAGAGAAATCTCAGCAATCCCTCTGTTGCTGCCCTCCACTCTCGCATCTTCTTTAGTGAAGGTTCTGATGTCACTGAGGATGGAATAGCTGTGTCCACAGTCAGAACTGAGGATGGAATAGCTGTGTCACTTAGCATGTGTTGTTTGATTTACACGGAACACTCTTAAGCACCTGCAGGGCACCAGGTGGGCTCAGACAGGTCAGGTGCTGCATCTGTGGGAATACACATTCAGATGGGGGAGAAAGGTCATGACTGGGAGAAGGAGGAGGAGGAGTGGAGGAGCAGAAGGCAATAATTAGCAAGAAATAAGTCCTCACAATAGTGGTTGCAGATTACCTGAAGCTAGGCTGTGCAGCGCTCTGAACATGTAAAAATATCTAGTACTATATGCAGAATTTTAGGTGTTTTCCCCAATCTTGTTACACACAGGCAAAGGCAATGTTCTGTTTAACCTCCTGGCACTTGCAAACACGGCCTCACAAAGAGCTCTGCTGACCCCAGATGGGGCTGCAGCTCGCCTCTGTCTGCACCGTGCCGGGCTGCACGCAGCCCCCTTCCCAGGCCCACGTTCCCACACATTTTCTGCATGCTGTTGGTGTGGCCTACAGGGCTGTTCCTGCTGGGGCTTTGATCTGCCTGATTCAGGGGCCACAGTTCTTTGTGCTGATCCTGTGCTTTTCCGGGGTATTTGGCCCACGCCCTTCTCCATGCTCACAGTAAAATAAATGCACATTAGTCTCTTATAGACAGTCAAATATTTACTAGAAGAAATAAAAACTCAAATATGTAAATATTATTTTACTTGTTAAGTCAACAAAGATGAATCTTTCACATTTTTTGACACTTCTAACTTTTTGGCACATTTGCATGAACTTTTCTCTCATTGTTTTTATTTATTTATTTATTTATTTATTTATTTATATTTTTGGTGGTACTAGGTATCAAACTCAAGACCTTGTGCTTGCCAGGCAAGCACTTCTTCCACTGAGCCCTCTCCCTGGCCCTTCTCTCATTGTTTTCTAATCAGATGTTATTGGTACACTTTAGGTACAGATAAGGATCACATTCATCCTAGAGAATTTGTACCTGTGCATGATATCACTTGCTTCTTTTTCCCTCATTGCTCTCCCCTCACTTCAATACCTCCTCCCCTTCCCACTTCCAAAAACTTTGTCTCCACTTTTTCATTTTTTTAAGCTTCTCTTTCTTTCCTTCCCCTCCCCTGCTTCTTGTTCCATTCCCCATTTGAACATTTTCTTGCTGTTTCACAAAACCTATAATACATTTTGGCCCTTATTTACACTTTTAGTTTCTCACACCAGAGAAACAATTTGGTATTTACACATGTGTGTCAATTTATTTCACTTAAGAGTATGGTTTTGAACTTATCCTTTATGGCAGAAGAATATTTCCCTG